AAATAATAGCATCTTGCTGGCTGTGTTTCTAATTTACAAAAGGTATTTACCTATGATGCACTCCTGATTTAGACCATCCGGTGGAGATCGCGCTCTCTATCTCTCTCAGCCTTTGTGTGAGGGGCAGTGACGTGCAGCATACATAAACGGAAAAATACACACTCGAGAAAGATATTTACAAATGCGGTCACACTCAATTAGAATCGATGTTGAGAGCTGTCGTCGTCACGATTAAAACAATTCTTTGGCACGTAAAGTGAAAGGTGTGCATCACGATCAGGTAAACACAGTGACCTTGACAGATTGACGAGGTCAGCATCGTTACATGTCCCAGGTCTCAAAAGGGTCAGGAAGTTTTACATTGACCCAGCTGGAAAAAACTCTTTTCGATGTATCCCTTCTCAGGATTCGTTTTCTTGAGTCAGCAAACAGTGTTGCTGGATTTGGTTTGATAGTCGATTTGGAGCCATCTCCTTCACACTTCCCTGAAGACAGATGAGTTCTGAAAATAGAATGACTTTGAAGCCTAACTGAGACAGAATGACTTTGAAGGCTGATAATACTGATACAAACATTTCCATGATGCATTCCTCCACAACCTTTTTGCTCTGTTTGCAAAAGGGATGTCTGATAACAGAGGAATGGCAGGGGTGCAAGGTTGTTTCACTTTCAGGCAGTCATGACTACTTGGCCACAAAACCTACACAAGGTTGCTCATTAGTAATCCTTCCTGTCAGATTCTGTTCCTATTAGTCACTGTGACCTGAGCCAAGATGGGCTCTTAGAGGTCTAGCCTTTGTCTGATCCCCGTCTATGTTAACAGCGTTAAAACATGCACGTCAATGTGTCAAAACGAAGCAAATTCATAAAACAAAGACAGTTTAAGCCAGGATATTGCATAAAAGTGGGCCCGGAGCAATCTGTTTTTATTGTTAAGGTGTGAATTTATGGATCTTTTTGTGAAGGGACAATTTGACAGCCTCTGGCAGATGGATAAGAAACAATGCTTTCTTCATTAGCGGAGATGATTCAAGCGTGAGCACAGTCATCTCTTTTGTTTGCCGGGTGGTGCTATTGGGCTATTATTTCTTTGAAAATCCAAATCAAAGTAGACCATAAATCAGAAGAAAGAGCTCTGTAATGAAGTGATGACTCTTCAATGTTCACATTTTAGTTCTCCTCCTTTTGACGTTTGCATTTCATGACCTAATTCCACATGCGTGAAAAGAGCTTTGCCTTTAGAACTAGTTGCTCTTCATGTTTCCTGTTGGGGAGTTTTTTTGCAAGGGGAAAGGGAGCCACGGCACATAGCAGTAGTACAGCAGCATTAGATATCACTGGACATTGGCAGGTCCAGAGCCTTCGAGCTGGCCTGTCTCTAGGGCTGCCTGAGTGCACTGGGGCGGAAACCCTCCCCTCCCCGAACCTCCACCCCGCCGGCTGTGCAGCCAGCTAGCTCGCCACCGCTCTCGCTGTCTTTCACAGGAAAGTTTGCACGAGCCCTCACTTGAAGATCAGTAGCAATCAACACGGCTGAGTGTGAGGGATGAGAGGGAATTTTACCAGGGGGAATGCCAGATGGCGTGTAATTAGAGCACAAGCACAGACACAGAAGAATTAGCAGGGTTAGATAAATGCCTGTGTTGTGCATTAAATTTATTCTCCTTTCTAATTCTCCTCTAAGGGAACATCATTAGTATGCCCGCGGCCTACCTGAAATCAATAACTAAATGCCATAGCTCAGTGATGTTCCCTGCCAGCTAGGCAGGAGCAAAAGAAACATCCTGCACAGTACCAAGCCACCGTGGTAGATGCCAAAGAACACAACCAGTGCCAGAAAATAAATATCTTATCTTCATCCCAGCACCCGGGAGTAGTCTGATCCACAATGTCACATCCCCACAAGTACAGCATGTAGTTGCACTATTACACCGCTTCAAGTACAGGCTGAACGTGTGTGTGTCTTAGCACTAATGTCACCAAGTAGGATCTCTTGTACATGACGTGTTCTTGGCAAATGAAAGTGATTCGTATTATGAGCAGCTGACACTGCAAACATGTTTACACGTTGGTGCAGTGCTTACTGTATCCACTATATCTATAGTTTATGAGTGTACAGTGCATATGTAAATTAGCTGTTGTATAGTTGATGTGTTTCCCAAAGTTTGGGATGCTGTGCAAAATGTCAGTAAAGGTGCACTTCACTGTTTAAACCCTGCTTTTTATGGAAATTGTGCAAAGACAGCGTATCAAGTTGTTTTATGATTTTTTTTTTTTTTAAATTTTTAAATTAAATTTTTTTTTTAATTTGATGCTAGCAAAATGTTTAACAAAAAAGGGGCAGGCTTAGTAGTCTGACTTATTCTTGCCGTTGTTCTTTTAATGTTACAGTTAAGTGGCTGTCTGGTTGATGCACAATTGATTGCACTTGAAATAAATAGTTAATTATTTAAATATTCAGCTATTAAAACTGAAACACTGTGGAGCTGTAATAATAATCATAAGATGAAATGCACTACTGCGTCATTAGAGCTCTTTTATTTTATCATGTGTAAGAAATTATTTTATAATTGTTGGCCTGTTGCTATTAACTGCTTAAATGTCACTGGATTAGTTTTGCATACAAGTATATTTACAGGTCTATGGAAATACTACTATAGACACTGTAGTCAGGCGTTCTCACATTTTGAAACCTTGAAAATGTTGTAGATGTGCTAAATTACTGGAAGATGTTTTCTAAGATGGTAATTCCTTATGAGTTGCAAAAAGGGGGGGAATCCTTATTTACGCAGCTCTGAGGTACTCAAGTGATTTTAGCATTGCATTAAAAAAAGATTGAGTTCCTCTGAAAGAGCAAAAAATTAAAAAACTGTTCAAAATTAAAGCAGCCGAGTCCGCCCTATCCTTTTATCCATTTCCCATAATGCAACAGAAAATCACCTTCCATTAGACTGCACTTGCATCTTAAATGCTTTCTCCTCTTAAATGCCATACCTCCTGCTTGCAACACAGGCTTTTTGTTAAATTTTAAGGCTCGAGCTAAAGTCGAGAAAACCCAAACTACATCAACAGTCACTCAGTTTTTTTTTCTTTTCTATAAAGTTCCTTTTAAACCACAGAAGATTTGCTTTCACAGCCCGAGAAATGCTCCTGATGGGTGAACTGAGCCTTTGTGTGTAAAATTGATGGGTTGCCCTTCTAAAAGCCTTCTTTTTTCCATGCATAATGGCTCAAAACGCAAAGCAACAAAGTGTCTGGACAACATCATTTTTGCTGATCTTCATCTCAGTGAATTCATTTATCCTCTGGACAGAGAAGGATATAAAACAGCATTTTTGCCACGATTGTCATCACATTTCCAAACTGTGATTTTTGCCATGCAGTGTCTTGTTACTTATTAGAAAACAGATGCCAGTGCATCTTTAAGCGCATGCATCAATATGGGAGTGCTAATTTATTTTTGCTTGTCTGCAATGAGCTAAAATTTGCTGATATTTGACCCTCCTGATCTGACATTATTTGAAAAAAAAGAGCAAACTAGATGTGATATTGACAGAATAAGAATATTTATTTTAGATGTTATTTGATGAATTCATATTCCTCTCACTGTGGGTGTACCTATGATACAGTCTTCAGTGCCTGAAAGCAGTAAACGGAGAATTTGAATGCACCGTACTAACGGTTTTTGTACTAATTGTACTAGTTTTTGTACTTGTAATGTTCTGTGCTTGAACATGAGCACTGTATGTACAGTATGATAGAGCACATTTCATTGTCTTCAGTCTTTTCTTTGATATTCCCCCGTCAAGCATTAAAAATGACAAAAGAATTCAGGTGAAATAGGTCGGCTGTGGATTACGATATGCATTGTGCGTTCGGTTCTTTGAATACCAATTAGGTTATAGCCTGCATAGTTAAGCTAGGCTTTCTTTTTTTTCCCCTGCATGTATCTCCAGATAATTCATATATGAGAATTTTGTGGTTCTGCTCTCTTCTCGCTTTTCTTCTCGCTGAACTTTTTCCCAGCTGCTCCTCAAAGCTCCTTGCCTATTTCTTTGACTGTAAGGAGCTGGCTTCATTATCTCCCGGGCAGATTAAAAGTAAAAGAGTTTAAGAGGAGTGAAGAGTCAGAGTGTGAGTGGAAAAGATCGCCCCTGGCCTTCATTCTTCATCAGAACGCGCTTTCTCTGGCCTTAATTATAGCCCAGTCTTATTACGAACAGCCAGAGCTTAAGCAGAGACGAACACGCAGTGCTCCCTTGTGTGAACTTGTGTCATTTTTGCTGTTGATTAAGAGGAAAAGCTTTTTGCAATGCTTTTTATAACTAGAGTGTTATTATTTCCCTGTCATGTCCTCCTCCTCCTACTATTCATCTAAGATTTATTTTTGTAAAGACTAAATCTCGCTTACTTGCTTCCTAACTTGTTCCTGTGTGGTTAGACTCTGTGGATGCAGACTTCCCTTATGAAGACATAGAAGAACACTGCCTACCTTTGAGTGATTGCGCTTGAAATTGCTTATGAAATGCTTCTATATTTAGGCTAATAGAGATGTTAAGTCACTCTCCAGATATGGTATTTCCAGAGGGCAAGAGGAAGCTCTCAGACTTATCTATCAGCCACGCATATTATCAAAAGAGGAGCAGAGAGTAATTTGATTAGAGTTAACCACCCTGGGCTTGCTATTGGATTAAGGCGATCGTCTTATCTGTGAATGAGACAAATAGCTTTGCACTTTACCTTTTTGATCTAGCGCACTCTTTCAGACTGAATCAGTAATGCCTACGGTAAGAGTGAGGAGGTGACTTCAGTCTACTGCTGCTGTCCGTTCTAGTCTTGATTATGAATTCTCGTTTCGTATGGTTGCATTGCATAAGGCTGTATTACTTTTTAAAATAATCTCACAGTGCGCTCTGTTTTTCTTTTTAGGTACAAAGGTTTCATCAAAGATTGCCCGAGTGGGCAGTTGGATGCTGTGGGTTTTCAGAAGATATACAAGCAGTTTTTCCCTTTTGGAGATCCCACAAAGTTTGCCTCCTTTGTCTTCAATGTTTTTGATGAAAATAAGGTTTGTAAACAAATTCATATGTTTTATTAGCCTTTTAGGGAGTGTAGGGAAATATTAAAATACCCTTGCTAGTTCACAGTAATATGATCATTTGGGGCTGGCATTGCCGTTAGATAAAAGGAGTCTGAGGAGAGGGCTAATCTGGAGGTTTTTGTTCAGATCATGTCCGTTTGTGAGAACAGCATCTCTTTCTTTGTGAACATCTAGGGACTACTGAGCAGAATAAAAGAGAAGCGTTGTAATCTTTTTCATTTCAATTATTATTCCAGTGCCATTATTGTTGTATTTTTCCCCCTCAGAGCTGTAGTCTCTCACATCCGTATACACACAGTTTTTGAATGAGAGCTGTTTGTTTTGGGCATTGTCATAAAAATTATAGGCAAAAATGTAATTAACTATTTCCCCATTGGGACGTGTACATTACCTACAACTGAAGAATCTAGCAGTGCCAGTGCAGATATTCTTTCTGTGATGCACACTGAGTGCTCACATTATGTATTTCTGGCAACATTAGCACAAAAAGAACCTGGATATATTTTACACTTAAAGATATTATATTACACTAGGTACCCCTTCTTTTTGCTCAAAAAGGAGCAACGAGCTGCAGTGGAGTCTTCGTGTCTACAATAACCTATAATTGTAACCCAGAGAATGTGCTGTTCTCTTTATGGGGTGAGGGTTGGAGGATGTACTGGCAAAGCCAACAAGATAGATGCATTTTTCTGAAGAAATCCACCTCACTGTAGCTGTACATGATCATTGTGATTGTGTTTGGGGACACAAACTGAAGAAGAGCAGTTCGCAGGAAGCTGCTGAGCCCCCCGGAGGTGTATTGACTTGAGTTAAGAGGCTTTGTGTCAGGAAGATCACACAATCCCCTTCATCTGATGTTTATCTGTGACCTTCATTAGCATTACGCACCCCGTAGTTAGAGAATGCATTGATCGTAGCAGTTTTTGGGACTTGTGCAATCTGCAACACATGACTTTAGCATTTTCTGTCTAGTCAGCTGTCTGGTAGAGATAGCATTAGCTGACCCTGAGGGGCACAAAAACACCAGGCTTTTTTCCCCTGCTTTAAAGAATACTGTGGCTAAACTTGCAGTGGGCAGCTGACTTAGCAGAATGTAGGAAGACGACAGACTCCGTCAGCTGCTTGAAACAGGAAGTCATAACATGATGGATTGGTTTGAATTAATGGCGTCTGAGAAACTTTGAGTTGTGTTTTTATGATTTAGAATCAAGTCAGTAGACCACTCTTTGATGCACAAAGTGTGGATTTAAAAGTGTAATTCGTCTTTTTTTTGTGGGGTTTTTTGTTTTGTTTTGTTTTTTTAGCTCAGCGAGTCACATTTTAACAACACTTAGAGAAAACTAAATTTCAGAGTGGAACGGTTCCTGCCCCGTTGGACAGAATGATCACTCGCGTCCATTCGTGATGTGAAATGACTGGAAAATGCGAGGCGTCTTTGCTCCCCGTATGTTGTGGTCGTATGTTTGCCTGCTGTAATTTTTAGACTTTGAGCCAGTAGCATTCTTCTTACTAATGACCAGAGGTGACATATTTCTACCTCAGGAGAGAGCCAGGTGCGAGGCAAAAAATAGCATCTGACTTGGAGCAAACGTCTGGCCCCATTTTCAGAAGAATCCAGCAAGGACATCATGAAAAGAACAGGACAGAGTTTGTGAAAGTACAGCCACTGCAAGTGTGAAGTGAGAGCCTCATCTTGTCTCTGGGCCATTTCTCTTCACTCTCTTTCTCTCCCCTCTCTCGGTCGCTCTGCAGGATGGACGCATCGAGTTCTCCGAGTTCATCCAGGCCTTGTCAGTGACTTCCCGGGGGACTCTAGATGAAAAGCTGCGATGTAAGAAGATTGTTGTTAATATTTAAATGACAGGAGTACAGACTTCTAGAGAGAAAAACGGCAAATAAAACCTTGACTTACTTTTTAAACCTGTGACAAAGTGTGACGATATTTATCTTCCTTTTTCACCCACATGAAGCCCACATATTTTAACTTCTTGTCTTTGTACAGGGGCTTTTAAATTATATGATCTCGACAATGATGGCTACATAACCCGAGACGAGATGTTGAACATTGTAGATGCCATATATCAGATGGTGGTAAGTTTTCCCAAACATTAGAGATCTAATCCTGACTCGTTTTAATGCAAACACCTTATGAAGCATTATGTTGCTGATGTCGTAGGGGAACACTGTGGAGTTGCCTGAGGAAGAAAACACACCAGAGAAGCGTGTGGACCGCATTTTTGCAATGATGGATAAGGTCAGTGTTTGAGTACTAGAGATGTAAATAGTGATAGAGCAATATCTGATATTCATTGAGACTGACATTGATATAGTCATGAGTTTAACTTTATTAGGGCTTTCGTCTACCTTTGTTGCCACCCTCGGGGCTTTGATATGGATGCTGTTAAGTTTAGAGCTGTTAGCTGTATTCATCACAGTGTCACTAACACCGCCTGCAGTCTATAAACATCATATATATATATTCTCCTCCACCTCTAGCGCTCAGTGCTGGTGCCCGCTCTGTCAGCTCCAAGAATCTACTCGGCTTTAGTGAAAGATGAGATGCTGCCTGCATGGGCGTGTTTGTCAGCTCACTACTGCCAAGATCAGCCCATAGGAGTAACTGTGCAGCACAGCAGCACTTAGTGATTTGTATTAGCTGAGAGTGGTGACTGTCCAAGTGCACTGAACCAAACATCAGTCCCAATAGCGTAGAATAGGGGCAACATGACATGGCCTGAGATGCTTTTTTGCCCCCTGCTGGAAGGTGTGTGTAAAAGCATCGCAGGGCTTCAGCTCGATATATTTTTCTGTTTTTGTGTCGTGTTGCAGAATGCAGACGGGAAGCTGACTCTGCAGGAGTTTCAGGAAGGATCAAAGGCAGATCCCTCAATTGTTCAGGCATTGTCACTCTATGATGGACTTGTGTAGGAATGTAAGGTGAGTGGGGTATTAATCAGCTGCTACCTGCATACCTACCCGCATGGGTGATTTTTCAGTTCCCGGTCATGCTTCAGCCTCACAGTAATGCTGTGTAATTTCTATTTCTTCAGAACAAAGAATACAGAAAGGAACTTCAGTCTGCGGGTTGAAACCAAAGTGAAGAAGCCACTTTCTGCTCTTGAGTTTGTTCTTATGAATTATTCATCTGGCTCATTTGTTTACTGGCAATCAAATATTCTTGCAGCGCTGAACGAAGAGCGAGACGGGACCTCCTCTCACTGGCTAATGTAATGCACTGGCTGCTGCCAATTGTTGCTGACATCCTGCTCAGCGTTTTGTCAACTGTGAAGTGAGCTTGTGAAGACTTTTTTTTTTTTTGTAGTAACACAGCAGCTCTGTTAGTGATTACCCAGCATGCTCTGAACACAACCAGGTATCATAACTCAACTGCTCCACTCACATCCCTCTTACACCTCAGATGGATCCCACTCAGCTTCCCCCCACTGTCCGTTACACACCAGTGCAGCACCATCACACTAATAATGGGAGGAAGCCACATTTTAACTCGATCACCCAGAAGCAGATTGCAAACTTTTCTACTCCCAAGTATCTGCCCATCTGCGTTTCCAATAGCGGACTGTGAACAAATATATCGTCTGATGTGATAGCGAATCCAAACCTGTCTGCAAAACCCTCCGTCGTTTGTGCGTGCTTCTGCAGCTACGCAGCATCGCATCACACCCTTGAGTAACTGTGGACTTTGGAGTATTGTGTAGTGCGAGGTACTGAATTCCTGTGGAGATGTTCGTGTGCATCTTGTTCACATGCTGTAAAGCGGCAGATGCAAAGTGAACTGCTCACTCAGAGGAACTGTGCTGCTGCTTCATCACCACACAGAGAGACTCTAAACCACAGGAGAATCTGTCGGGGGGGGAAGAAAGTGTTACTTTTGTGATAATGTGAACACTAACTTAAAGACACAAAGCAGTATAGTGTGTATTATATAATGTAAATATAATGGTAATTTATTTTCTGCTT